TGAAGAACAGACTGAAAGGAAAGGGAAGACCTATGAAGTTAACATGGCTGCGTTTTACTGGTAATGTGCCGTAATACTTGCTAACAAACTCTACACCTTTAAAAATTTGAAGTCATCATTGTTCTGTTGCACAATTAGTATTCTAGTCTGCTTTATTCCCATTTCCAATCTCAGTGCAAATGTAACGGAATTAGCCTCTTCCAACGAAAATCAATTCTTGAATCAATTAGGTTCTTAGGTCCATTACTGCGGATCCTGTTCCGGAACAACGGCGATCGCACTGCCTGATTCAATACTGAACTATTTAAGCAAGAAAACAAAATAACTACCCAAATAGTCTATATAAAAAAGAAAGTTTGTCACAACTGGAATGTCGGTCTTCCTTCACTTTCATAATTAGGCCATTTTGGTGCCCTTCTTTCCATAAAGTTAATGGCAAAGTGCTGATCCCCGTTTCTATGCCATCAGCCATGAGTGCTTTATTTTTAAACGCAGAGGCTACAGCCATGTGGTAGGTGCAGCATATACTCTCCTGTTTCCTTGTCACAGTGTGCTACTAATTTACCATCCTCAGAATGAAAACAAGGCTAATGACACGACCGTGGCTCGAACCCGGGACATATCGGTTCTAGAAGCAATGAGTCGTAAACTGCTTGCTCAAGAGAATTCGTGAATAAGACTAATGCTGCCTTTGAGTGGAATCGAATCCCGTACCTCCGGTGTTTGAAGCAGATCTCTTAGACAATTGTGCCACTGGCACACTTTACAAAGAACTTTAATTTAAACCCAGTAATTATACCTCATGACTGTTTACTCTGCAAGATTCTTGAAAAGCACTTACGGGGCGTCAAAAAGTTAGTTTATCAGTTAAAGTTACTTAATATACCATTTCGAAATACTGATGAGACTAATCATTAAGTTTTACTGCTTTATCAACTGCTGGTTTCAGAGGTCGCAAAAGGCAGAATAAAATATTAACAAATACGAAAAATGATCGACAGCATGTAAAACAAAATAAAATACCAATAACAGAAAAATTAAACGTCAGTACTAGCGGCATCGTAAGTAGGCAACAGATTCAAACAACAACAGAAAAAGTTATCTACTGACAAGAACGTAAAAAGCAAGATTACTAACAGCTGGAAACGAAACTTACTGATTTCGGATGAGGCATCGGATATTAGCAGCAAACTCGATCGATACATTATTTGATTATGATCAAATTCTGCTTTTTAATTAGTTTAATGAAAACGATAAAACCTGCGGATAAAAATATCTCCACGTACTTATGGGAATGATGAAATTCGTGATTCGAATTTATTGCCAGTCTTTAAGTTTCAAACACTGGAAGACTGACGTGTTCGTTGTACAGTTATACATAATTCATAATCGTTTAGAGGTTGTTAACAATAAAAATAGAATTATGACACACCCAGAATCAGAGCTAGTTACTTATCAATCGTGGAACCACGCAACACCAAACCCTATAATGCTGATTTTCAAAATAATGCTCAAGTGAAACTAAATGGGTGAAAATAGTCGTATTAATGAAAGACAGTTACAGCAAACCAAGACATTACAATTGTAAGTAAACTAAAGATAAAAGTCATCATATAACATAGAACTACATCATCTATAACATTCCGTTTTATTTCTATTGAGCGAAAGTTTTCAGTGCATGAAAGTAAGCATAGAAAAACAAATGACTGAAACCTTACCTTATATTGAAGTACAACGACCGAACCCTATCATGCATCAACTGCCCTTCGAGATTATTGCGTCAAAAAGTTCTCACAGATATCACGACAGAACAACTTCGCATTGATGACTATACAAGATTCATGTAAAAAAGGCAACAGCTTTCGCAACCAGAAAGTTTCCACTAAAGGGATTTACTGTACTGCTTGT